TACAATCCGCTACCACCGTCACCGCGGGGAGGTGCCTTAAACGCAGAGAAATTGGATAAGACTGATACATGATCATAATAGCGAACTTTAGATAGTTCTAGTACTTAAGAAACCTCCCCTATAAAGTTGGGTTTATGGAATTTTTGATACCTTAAAATTTTAGGCATGTCTCAAAGTTGTTCATCCGAGGCCCATATTCTCCTAAAACTGGGCATAGTCTTTTGTTGTGATACTCAATACTTCAATCGGTATACTTAAAAAATAAACAGACCCCCTCCCCCCACTTAAAGTTTAAACGCGCCTTATTAAATGAATGAAAATTTAAATAAAATAATAAAGCAAGTAAAGTACAATAATACCTTTATTAATTAACGTTTTTAAATGCACATTCCCTGCTGACTAGGGGCGCTCGATTTCTATACGAAGGAAGGTCCATCTCATTTCCCCCATTGCCAAGAGACGCACGACTTCTATAATTCTACTGTTGCACATGGATTTCGACTTTCCACGCAAAGCGTTGAAAATCGAAAAACGTTCGTCTGTTAACAGATGAGAAGTGGGATGAAAGTCGCTTCGCGTGGAAAATTGAAACCCATATGCAACAATACAATTATAGAATAATAAATATTTCTTAATCATATATTTTTTTTTATTTTACAACCTGATATTTGATTCCATGTCGTAATATTGCTTCATTATAATTTATTTGCACTTTAGTTTCAATGGATCTATTATTATCATGATTCGTCTACAAAAATATCGTATATATTAAGATTAATAATAATCATTACAGCGAGTTTTGTTACAAGGATTCTACCTACATCAGCTCTACTCCACATCATTTATACATATAAAAAATGTCCGGTACTTTTCATCGGAACCGTTCTAGGGATCAATTTCTCCGATCAATTTCGTTCATTATCCTTTATCCGATGAAATGTAATGTCCGATTACATGTGGATGGAATATGAACCGCCATATGCCTATTCGTTAAAATTTCATCGAATAAACTTACGATTTGATCGGACATTAGACTTGAACGAATAAAAAAAGTATTTTATCCGATCAAGTTTGATCAAATATAGCTATATCCGATCCGATGAAATATCCAATGAAAAAATAACCGATTAGATCAACTGTATATAAATGATACCTGATGAGAGTTAGGTCGTATTAAGAAGTGCAGGAATGAATATTATATATTAGTAATAAAAAATAAATAGAGATTAAAAGTAAAACACACAATGGATACAAATAAGACATAAAACATAAATTTTATATTTTAGACATACGTTATATTTATATTTAATTTGCATTTGTGTATGCTATTGTGTCTGCATTATGTTTCTATAGGTAATATACAGGGTCTCAAATCAAACGCTCGGTCACGGACATTCCGATTCGAGGGGGATGCGGCAGGAATCGATCCTTCGCAATGATCGTATAAATAGGATGAAGCGATCGATATTACACTCAATAAAATCCTTCGATCCCGGAGATCGAAACTGGCAGTGTTCTGCCGAAGAAACACGATACTGGAAGATCGCGAGGTAAGAAATTTGCGGAATATGGAGGTAGTTTTACGTGCTTTTGAATGAAATCCTGAATCGAGCCGTTTTCGAGTTTGAATTCGGATCGTTGCTCGAGAACACGATTTGTCACGAGCAACTGTACATAGGATATTACAAGAGGAAAAGTTGCACGCATTTCATTACACCCATACAACATTTGTAACCAGAAGATCATCGAGCAAGAAGAACATTCTGCGAATATTTTCTGACAAAAACAGATCAAGAACCTACATTCCCTTCTCATGTGATATTCAGCGATAAATCATTATTCACACGAAAAGATATTTGCACAATATGCATTTGTAAAGCGACGAAAATCCCACAGCCACATGACTCAGGAGCTTTCAAAATCGTTGAAAGAGAAATCTGTGGATTGGAATTATGGGAACTGAAATATTAGGACCAGTTGTTCTTCCGGATATCTTAATTCCGGATAACTGGCGAAAAATACGTGGAACTTTTAAGAGAAAATCTTCCAGACTTCTTAGAAGAGGTGCCGACAGTACCGAGGTATTAGACAACAAAATTGTTTTTCAACAAGACGGTGCTGGACCACACAATATCAGAATTGTAACAAATTACTTGAATGAGCAGTTTCCTAGGCGTTGGCCCCGAATCTCAATTCTCTTAATTTTTTTTATGGGGATATTGTAAGAGGAAAAAATTTACAAAACGCTTCCAGAGGATATCGATGATTTGGATACGAAATTGCGACATGCTATTTGGCCCATCGAAGAAGATATTATGAACAACGTTCAAGCAAACTTATCTAACCGCATGAGAGCTTGCGTTAGAATGGATGGTGTTCCTGATTTGAGCACTTGCTGTAAAATATTTAATCCGCTCTTTCTAGAGCGATCAGAAATAATTCGCTGTTTTTAGAGCGACATTTTTACATGGAACATTTTGTATTTGCAGAAATGTAAGAAAAATCTGTAAGCAATATATGTTCTCGTCCTTTTTGAAGCAATATGCATAGAAACCTATGAATGTTTACTTGCTTCATTGTTGAGATCAAATTTTTATTCATTTAGAAAGGTGCGTCATTTAAACTTTGGATGGTCTGTTTATCAGTTTTTTAAGTATACCGACTAAAGTATTGTGAGTATATGTTCATTAAAAACGTTTTTTGTAGAAAATATGATAAACATTTTTTGGTTAATACATCAAATATGAAGAATGTCAGTCTATCATAGTCAAAGTTAGATATTTCAAATAATACAATATACATATATTATAAATGAATTTTATTTCAGAAAAGGGTAAATGTCAGCCTCAAATGACTTTCAATTGACCTAGACCTCAACTTTGATTCTCAAAGAGATCAAAGTCACTGACCTTCTCCGTCGTTCGTTATTCATTAAAAAGTTATGAACAAAACAATTTTTATGAATAGCACAATTTTCAGCAGTATTTTCTCTTGATAGGGGGAGGTGGGAATAGATCTCGCTTCACGTGTAAAGTCATGCGCTCCTTGGCAGAAAAGACGTGGAGTGGGAGTCGCTTCACCCTCTGTCAGGGGGCGCACGACTTTCCACCCGAAGCGATTCCCACCCTATCTCTCTTCCTACTTGGAGGGACGCGCGACTTCCACCTGAAACAACTTCCATCCCACTGCACCCCACCCCATCTCTCTGCTTGGGAGGGCGTACGACTTTCACCTCCCACTGTCAAAAAGAAATATTGTTGAAATATGTACTTTATATTTAAAAATTGTGTGCTATTCATAAAAATTGTTCCATTTATAAAAATTTGTTCTGTTCATAATTTTTTTTTTAATAACAAACGACGGAAAAGGTCAATGACCTTGTCTTATTTGAGGGTCAAGGTCAGTTGGAGATCATTTAGTATTGACTGTGTAAAAGTAAACATTTACCCAGATAAGATTGAGCGGCGATAATTTTCGGACTTTCAACACAATCAATCTAAAATGCTGGGACAATTACTATAACTGTGGTCTCTCAAAATAAAAATTATTTTTGAAATCATTTTTAGTAAGAAACGCGGGTGGAATAGTAAACAAATTCTATAATCAATATTTAATTTAATAATCATAATTCAATTTTATAATAACCTATTAATTTGATAATATCCTTTCTAACAATGATTATCGACTAAAACGTTCTGAAAGTTATTCAAGACATTGACTTTGGCAAGATATGCTAAGATTCTCACTTCACCTCCCTCTCTGCTATAAGGCGCACAACTATTCACCTGAAGCGACTTCCACCCAGATTTGCACCCAAAGTTATGCAAAATTGTAATTCAATTAAAAATTACAAATTACAATTACAATATAATTCTTAATTCAATTAGTAATTATATTTCATAATTATTAATTGATGAAAAAAATTAAATGAAGTAATTGTGAAAAGTAATTGTGAACAGATTACAACTATTTAATTGGTAATTGTTAATTGATTAACTGTAATTGTAATTAAAATAAGAGTAATTAATGCTTTATGGAATATTGTGTAAATGTATCCTTTCTAAAAAAAGGCAGACCTCATCAATATTATTATATTATGTTCTTGTGCATATGAAAGTGTAATAAAGTGCATATATGTGTAATAAAATTTATCTAATAATATATGAAAAATAATAAAATTTTGCCTAACATAATTGTGAAAGTAATCGCAAATTTTGCCTAACATAATTGTGAAAATAACTCTTGCTACGGGGCGCACGACTTTCCACGCAAAGCGATTTTTTGAGTTATAATTGTTAATTATTTTGGTATCTGTAGGTTAGAGAATTTTTTTACTATTTTTCTCGTTTTCCTCGCAAAAATTCTTCCGAAAATTACTTTCATTTTGAGGGACAATTATCGTAATCGTCCCGAAACGCTACTCTTCCCCTAAGTTAAATTAGAAAAACTGTAAAAAACTTATTGCGAAAAATTACTTCAGCCAAGATTCGAATTCCCTGGGACCTTTCGACTTTCTGAGGCAAGCGTCTTAACCAATTCGACCACTGAGGCTTCATTTATTGTTTAAACACGTATTGTTTTTTTGTAACACATACAATTCCAAAGGTCGCTAAAACCTTCTTTTAGCATGTTTTCAATATAGCAACCAAAATATGAGCACCACATTTTTGTATTGTCACATTCGCAATCGGGAGACAAAAATGTATAAGAAATGAACAATTGTTTTTTTTTACGAGAACATAGCCCAACGTGAAATTTAACCCAATTTTTAATTGACCAAATATTGTAAATATTTCTTATTATAAGCACAAATGAATTTGGGACACCCTGTCCTAAGTAATATACGATTATCACAATAAGGGTGAGGTGACACTATCGTCATTGATACTTAAAAATTTTCGTTGAATTTCAGTCAAGATGATGTTATCTCGATCTGATCGTGACAATCGTGTGTCACTTAGGATCATAAATTATTTCTAAGTTTTCATATCATGACTTACAAAAAAGAACTTTTTTCCTTCTTTCTTGATTATTCACTCTTAAAAAAAGAAAATCATCATGCGTAATCATATCACAGAGTCAAATGAATTGTGATATGATTACACATGATGATACATATGCATATATAAAAATGTCCAATTTTTTAAATGGCTTATTCAACTAATAATTAAAAAAAGGAATTAACAATATTAAAGTATAATTTACAAGATTAACATAAACATAAATAAATCTAAATAAATGGAAAATAATATTAACAAATAAACTTATATGAAAGGATTTCTATGATGTGTCGTGATGTATTTGTGCATTGAAATACTAGTGACTGATTCTTCTATATAAAATAAAATTTCATCGTATAAAAATAAGAGTACAAAGATTGAGACAAAAAACTACTGAAAGTATAATAAAACCACATTCTGCAGTACGCAAACTGCAGCTGCAATATAAATCAAAATATGTTTTATAAATAAGCTCGAGACTTTAAAATGTCCTTTAAAGTGCGGTAAATTTTGCACCATCATAATTATTATTTAGCATTATCGTTTACGATACCAAATTTTCATTAGTATCTTTATAATATGTTCATGCAAGACAATCTTACGCGCGAGATCAGTGCGTTTTATGTATTGAATCCAATTTTCTCGTTTCCGTAAGTTCTTTAATCTGCCCATATAAGACCAGATGTCTATCATGAACTTGGTATGCTCAAAAATTTGATAGATAACAAAATCAATTGCTTTTGAGATTTATGAGTATTAGCATTATTGAGCGTTTCCATACTGTGCTCGAGAATCGATATTGTGGGCATATGTAAGTGATACTTTGCATATTACATTTTGACATCTCTAAAAATGATGCAATTGCTTGAATGATGAACGAATTACTATTAACATACTCTGAGTTGACTCGAAAGTTGTTCGTCTTATGCCCACAAGAGCCATTCAAATGACGTGCACAGCGGCATATAATACGATTTACATGCAGTACTAATATCATTAATTAACCTGTGCGTGGGGAAACCACCGCTTGGAAATCCACTCTGTCCGGTACGTCTGATAGCATAAACAATGAAAAGTACTGACTTAAGAGATGATAATTAACTTTGGTTGCTAGTCTCATCTCTATATATACAATATAATTACGATGAAAAGATTAAGGTTTCCCCACATTAAATCAAATGTTTTTTGTATAATTGTTGTAATTTTTATTTCTATAGTTATAAGATGGTTGTAAATCATTTGATACTTCATTCCTTTCTTTGATAATTACGCATAATAAAGCTCTTTTTAAACATTTTTTGGCTGCAATATTGGTAACAATCTTTGTTATGACTCAAATAGCAATAATTAATTAGGGGAGGTTGGAAAATATATTATCTACCTATTTTTTAAATCATTTATTTCTAATATAGCTTCTAATATAGCTTCTATAGTGATTTATTACATGCGTTTGACTTTCTATGCGAAGCGAGATTTACGTCATCTACCTCTTGCCTAGTAACGCATGAATTTCCGCACGAAGCGAGGTCTACCCCTTTCTTTTTGTTTAGGAGCTTTCGATTTTCCATGCGAAACGAAATCCATCCCTAGAGTGTATTCTTCTCCTCTAGAATATATTTATATTCCCACGCGGGTGCTCTGCGGGTGTCATGTTATCTTTGTTTGACATTCGATAAGCAATAAGGATAAAGTGATACCTCAGTGACACTCGAGTGGGTATCAACATACATCTAGAAGCATCCGATTTTCTATGCAAAGCGAAGTCCAACCCAAGTTCCCCCCCCCCCTGCTTATAAGCGTCCAACTTTGTAAGTAAGGAGATATAATATAAACTTCGCGAATAAAGTCGTATATCTGTAAACAGAAAGGGAGATGGTGTAGACTTCGCTTCGCGTGAAGTCACGTGCCCCTTGACAGGGGGAGGTAGCATAGGAACCGATGATCTTACTATATTGGAAATAAATGATAAAAATAATAGATAGGTTATATATTTTTTAATCTCCTTCGATTATTTATTACTATCTGAGTCATAATAAAGTTATCAACGTTGCAGCTCAATTATGCCGAAATTCGAAAAGGGCCTTATTGTGTATAATTACGTGAAGTACGATTACCGAATCAATAATAATTTACGTTATAAAAGGATATAGTAATTTACTCATCCTAGAGGATATAAGACAAATTGATTTTAAAATCAAAATTTTCCTCTTAACAAAATGAAAAATATACCTTCTAAGTTCTTCCTGACTATGAGCCAATGCTTGAACGACTCGTTCCAATCTCAGGGACCTGGCTGTTAAAGGAGACGCCGCGTCGCTTCCACCGCTTCCTACACCACCACTATCTCTTTCGCTAACCGAATGCAGTTCCTCTCCCGACAACTGCAACTATTACAAATGGGAACTATTCTTTCTTCTGTATTAATTCGTACATATTTTCTAAATTTCTTAGAATGAAAATTGCCAGTTTTTGAATAAAAGTGAAAATATTTTCATCTTGTAAAAAGAGTGAAAATTTTTACTCTTTTGGAATAAAATTTTACTCGTTGGGGTGAAATTTTATTCCTTCCAAAGTAAATCTCATTCCAAACGAGTAAAATCTTATTCCAAAGGAGCAAAAATTTTCAACTCTTTTTTTTAGGATAAAACTATTTTCACTTTTATTCAAAAGTTCATTTTTCAGCCTTTTAGAGTAAGATTTCATTTTAAGGGATTTAGAAAGTAATATTTCGAAATTAACGATAGATTCTTTGACCAATTTAGAGTCGATTTTTTTTAGAGAAAAATCGCGAAAGGACATTATTTATTGCAATTTTTCAATTTCATGCGCTACATATTTTTGCAAGTAAGTTTCAATTTGATATTCCATAAAATTAAGCATCAATTAAAATTAAGAATAGTGTTTCATCACTTATTCAACTTCTAAAGATTACTTTACAAAATTTTTCTTTCCAGTTGTTTATAAATCAGATGTAAATAAATGATAGATACATTTTCATTAAGAAAAACATAGATTTTAATATTGACCGAGTAGCATATTAAGAAGATATTCTTTCATATGTCATACGTATAAAATACATAAAATAATGAATATTTTATAATATTGTAACGTTGTACAATGCGATCTATTATCTATCAAGTTATTATCTATGTGCTAAAAGAATGAAAGTTCTTCATTTTTTTCTAATACTTGTATCTTTTTATGCAACATTGAATTTTTAAGAACAAGTTTGAAAATTTTTTCTATATAAAGAAAAATTTTTCTATATAAAAAAAAATTAAAATCAAGTGATATTTCTATTAGTATAAACTATTTCAAAATGTAATTTTATTGTAAAGCATATTGAAAAAATTTTTTGCAATAAAAGAAAACAATAGTTTTGGTTAAATTATTATATAGAAGCAAAATTTGCAATTTCAAGGAAAAAATAAATGAACACAATTTTCCTTTTAAGTGTAACGTCAAATTTCACGCAAAAGTAAGATCTTTATATTATTAACATTTTATAAATGTTTGTAATGTATTTCAGATGCAATCTGTAGCGCAATAAGTGTTCTGAGAAAATTTAGACCACAAAATAGTAGATTGCTTTCTTAGAAATAAAGGAATTATGGTAAAATGCGAGGTACTCGAAGATTAGGTGTCTTCAATGACAAAAAACTTATATCCCAGTAAACGTTAAATATTCTTAAAATATTCATAAAATATTTTTAAAATTTCAAAAAAACATTCCAAGAATACCTCAAATATTTCGAATATTTGCAATATGTAAAAGAACCATTCAAATGTCAGTTAAAAATTTTATTCGTACATGTCGTTACGTATTCCGAAAATGTTCCATATATATTCCGCAAAATTTTAGCTTTTCCAAAAATTCCAGATCAGGTTGTGCGTGAATTAATTTTTAAACAAAATTTTACTTTGGAAAACACATTTAATGTGTTTCTACCCTAGAGCCCAATTTTGGGACTCACTTCACAGGCAAAGTGCTGCTTCTTATATTCTTTCCCAAATGATTCTTGTGTACAAGTAAATGCTAAAGTCATTAGATTATAAAGTACTGCAATGGCTTTTCCAGTTTGATTGCGTCAATATGGCGGAACTACACTATGTACACAATTCACACAATGTTTTGCACTCAATATTATTTATGTATTGTGCATTTTATGAATAGCTCGCTTGAAATTTTGGAAGCTGATCTTGGAAAAGATGATCAAGAGTATCATTAGAGAGTATCATCGCGAAACTCGTACATATTTCCGTGCCTCTACAAACTGTGCATAAACTTTTATACACTAACACTTCAATAACAAATAAACCTGTACTTAAAAAATATAAAATATATAAAAAATATAAAAATTAAGCATTCGTACAGTATTTCTTTTGGTATTAAATAAATAAATTATTTACAATTAAAAATTTATTTACATATTGTACGGCTTTATTTTTCCAACAAAATATACGTTTATATAAATACGTAAATTTGAAAATGACTGCGTCTTGCTTCGAGATAGAGGCAAGTTTACACGATACTTTAATCTAGTGACTTTAGTAAATGCTTTTCGCCGCAGCCCTCTGCCGGCAGAAATGTATACTACTTGCTCGCTCGCGATTTTCGTAAAATATAATAATAAGTATTCATACAATATTCTGAACATTTCATCGATATTTGTACATTCTGTGACGATTCTTTTACTGTTTCAGAACATTCGGCATTCGTAATATGAATCGAACTTTCTGTGAATATTTAGCTGGGATTCTTCGTAAGTTTTGTATTATAGATTAATTTACATATATTAAATATAATAAGTAATAATATGTCCTTTTATTGTTTTCTTTGAAAAAAGATTATAAAGGCTCTAATCAAAAGGAGGATCAAAATCCTTCCCACAGCGGATTTGATTGATGTTTAACGTACTTTTTTGTCACTAAAGAAAACTTCTTAAATTTTAAATGCCCAATTCCAGTCGTCCATAACCTTCGAAATGGTGTTTCTTAGTAAATAATTTTTGATAATTATTTAGAATACGGACTGCTTCGATTTTGATAAAATTAGGCTTATTCAACGCGTTTTTGTTAGAAAGAATCTATAAGAAAAGACATTAGATCGGTCCCGCGAACCGAAATATTAATCATTAAAATTAATGACTATTGAGGTTAGGAAATCTGTCACAAAGGCAACATGGGTGCAAAGGAGCGCATGACTTCTATAATTGTACTGTTGCAAAATCGAAACATGTGTAGGAGGGAGGAGGAAGGCGAGAGTCGCTTCGCTTGGAAAGTTAAAACCTATGTGGAACAGTACAATTGTAGACTTCATTTTGTCTCTGTAACAGATTTTCTAACCTCAATAATCATCAACTTTAACGCTTAATATCGGTACGCGGGGTCGACTTAACGTTTTTTTCTTATAAATTCTTTCGTTTTGAGCAAAAACGTGTCGAATGGGCCTAATTTCATAAAAATCAGAGGTGCAGTCCGTTCTAAAGTTTTAAACAATTACCTAATTTTTTTCTTTGCGAATGTTTAATGGATTAATTTGACATTTTAGGCGACAGATATTATTCAGACATATAACCCTGAATTTTTGTTTAACATTTTGGCGGGAATTCTTAATTTTGCGAGCCAAAACAAAACTTCAAATTTTAACATTTTGGTTCTCATAAGACTTGCTACCTCTCTATTTTAAATAAAGTTGTATTTTTAGGGAAACTATGTCTTTGATTTATTTCAGAATTTTTTATATTTATGAGAATACCCTTAAAAGTATACCTAAAAAAAAACCGCTTTTTTCTCCTTTTTTGTTATTTCTCATGATTATTTTTACTTGTAATGATTATTTCGTGGCTGCGCCAAATTTTTTTCATAGTAGTAAATAGTACAAAGTTTCTACTGATATATAATAGTTCATTTATCTTAAAAATAGTAAATAATACTTAATAAATTAAGTTTTTGTTAGGCGTATATACCGGAGTTACCCTATTCTTTTTATATGATACACTCTACATGTAACATGGGTTTTGTATTAGGGATCGAATAATTTTTTAATTAAAAAAACTATTTGGATAAAAGTTATCCTGTCATGGTGACTTGTATTCATAGTTTATATATGTTAGGTTGTGATATTTATCAGGAAGGCTCAAAAGTGAGCTGAATTATGTAAGCGCGTTTAATAGAATAAAGAAGTTTTATAAGTGTATTATTTGCGCGACGTCTTCTGCGCCTGATTCTTAGTGCTCTTATTCTTTCCAATTTCTTTTGATTTATGAGGAGTCTTTATTAGTTTGATTTATTATATGAACTATAATAAAATGGAGTGTTTTTGGATATTAGTACCGTTTTTTTTTATATTAAATAATTGAAAATTCTCCAGAGAATACCTGAATAGAGAAAATTTGTAGGGCGCAGCAACGAAATAGTCATTGCAAGTAACTATGAGAACTGGCAAAGAAAAAGAGAAAAAAGCGGTTTTTTAGGCATTTCAGGGTGTTCTCATAGATAAAAATTCTGAAATAAATCAAAGAGGTAGTTTCCCTAAAAATACAACTTTTTAATTAAAATATAGGGGTAGCAAGTCTTATGAGAACCAAAATATTAAAATTTAAAATTTTGTTTTGATCCATAAAATTAGAACTTCCCGCCAATTTTTGTGGGAACAAAAATTCAAGGTTATGTGTCGGAATATCTGCCATCACCTAAAATTTTAAATCAATCCATAAAATACTCGCAAAGAAAAAAATTATTTATTAAAAAACATCATTTCGAAGAATATGGACGATAGGGAGAGTATCGGGTATCAAAATTTGGGAAACTAAGTTTTCTTTAATGATAAGAAAGTGCGATGAACTTCAATCAAATCCGCTGTGGGAGGATTTCTACCCTCCTTATTCGGATAGAGCTTTTCACCTTTTACTTGACCATACTAACCTCCTATCCTCTCTTATTTAATAATAATAATTAAATCAAATTGCTAGCTAACCTGACTAGCAGGAAGAGATTCTGATAGTTGGCCGGGACTAGCTAAGGAAGCAGCATATTGATGTAAATGCGCCGGAGACATTGACGCAGGTGCCTGCATGAAGAAGAAAATATAGGAATATATTGTAAGCAATATGATTACTTTGCTCATACTTACGCAATCAAATTAACATAAATAACAATTATTACATTTACGTGATTACTAACGGTGTGGTACTTATGTAAATAATCCCTATTTGGACTATGATGTGATTTTGGTGTGGATCGGCCACTCAGTGGCGGCGATGCTCGCTCGAGACTTCGTCCCCTCGCTAATAGATTCATATGTTCGAGGCTGCCAACGCGAGATTCTAGTTCCTCCGCACGTGCTTCCGTACTCTGCTTTTCTTCCTAAGAAAATTCTCCACTTTCAATTGTATATAACTTAAAAATCGATCGTTCAAGATAAAGAAAAAATGAATTAAATTAGACAAAAAGTATAAAAACGATATGTTGAGTCTGCAATACCTTATTACATTCATTTTTACATTAATATATCCAAGTTCATATAAAATAAATCTATGCATATGAGTCGTTGTATAATATTAATTACTTGAATTAATCTAATTTCCTTATTAATAGCATCCAATTGTTCTTGTAACATCAATGCTAATGTTTGGGCATCTGTATGTCCGGTGGGGCTGATTACGTCCGCCGCACAACTGAAGATACTTTCGTTATCTCCATCACCTTCCGCGTCACTCGAAACATCAAATGCTTGTTGGACATTGGCAAGCACATGCGCTTGTTGCAACTTTTCCCATTCTTGCTCCGCTAAAGTCCGTGCAACATAATTCTAGAGTATCCAAATTCACGTTATAAATGTTTATCTTTAGACATACACCTAATTAATGTCTTTTATATCTTGTACAACAGTATAATACCTTCGATGAATCGTCTTCGATAGATCGTTTACCTCCTCTTCTAGGCAATGAGTGTGTGTCGAAACTGCTGTGACTTGCACTTCTCGAAAAGGAACCTGGATCTACAGTATTTGGCGACAAACTTCTCGTTAATGCGTCCGTTTGCTGAATATTAAATGCAATTTCTTGTTGGAGCATCTGTCTTTTAACATTGTCGATTTCCAGACGTGCTTTGCCCAATTCTTTAACAATGTCAGCCTTTTCATTTTGCAGATCTTCCGCCACTTTTCTCGTTTTTTCGAGTTCCTGAGTAAGTGCATTCTTTTCTTCTAACGCGTGCATTCTTTCTTTTAAATGCACTTGTAATCTTTCATTGGATTCTAAGCAAAAATTTAAACTATTAACTTAACTTAAAATTTTAATCACATTTATTAATATCGATAAAGTTAAATAGCATATAGGCAAATATAATGTCAGACATTAAATATTTATGCTTTCGAAAATACAAGAACATTTTATTAAAAGTTATTTCTATAAAAGGTCATATGATTTTTTAAAAATTAACAGTGATAAGAAGAAAAGAAATTACATATCTTATTTCTAATGTTATTTCAAACTAAAAGATGATAACAAATATTTAAATATTTAATATTATTGTATTTACATACAAGTTATCCTTTTAGACAGAAAAGCATATTTTTTCGTTCCTAATTTAATCCAAGTAATTATTTACATTCCCACAAGCAATTAGGGCGATCTGATATAGAAATAATATTACGTAAAAATTACCAGATAAAAGTTTATCAACAGTTGTACTAAGACGCGTATTATGTTCCTCGTTCATCTTTAATCGTTGATTAACACGCATCACTTCTGCATTCTTTTCTTCTAATTGTGTTTCCAGTCTTTGAATTCTATCCTCCGCGCTACCATGCCTTTCCTGAGCCTGCTTAAATTTTATATAATTAAAATTATTTGTCATGAATTATAATTTATTTATAATGTTATCGATTTCCGTATTATTGAACTGTTATTTACGAAATTATCTCCCATTATTTCAACAAATTTCATGACAATGATAAATATCAATTTTCAAAATAAATGTCAATTCTTATGGTTTGGATTGGAATAGATCAATAGGGGATAAACATATTAAAATATAATTTAAGGCAAGTAATGAATATCACTTATACAGGATATCCTACATAACTGTGATTACGATTTTTCCGGCACTTCCGATGATCTGACAAAAATTATTTTGAATAAAAGTTAGTCAATTTTCAATCGGCTACAAATTGCAATATTAAAAAATTATAAAATATTTTAGGAAAAAGTCAAGATCATCCTAATTTTTTTAAATAACACTACGTATTTTTTATTTCATAATATTCTAACTGATGTCAAGACGAATTCAATTCACATCTGCTATATTATGATCTTGAAATGATCTTAAAATCAGACCGATGTGAGATCGATAAACGGAAACGTATTTGTGAAAAATTATTTTGTATTAAACTTTACATGTTTTTCATTACATTGTTTAGTAGAAAAAATTTACCTGTACACAAATTGAGAAACGTAGTCATTTCTGAATTTATAGTATTCCCGAATGTAGTTCATAATTTATTACATACACATATGTAATAAATTGTGAACTACATTATGTAGTATGTACGTAGAGAAAATATATCAACATAATTTGTAGTACTTGTAGCTCGAACTGTTACTTTTATATCATACAAGTTACAACATTATGAAGTAAAAAGTACGTAGTGCCATTTAAAAAAATTAGGGTGATTTTCAATTTTCCTAAAAAAATATTCTACAAATTTTTAATATTGCAATTTGTAATCAAATGAAAACTAACTTTTATTCAAAATAAATTTTGTCAGATCATCAGAAGTGCCGGAAAAATCATGATTATAGTTACGTAGGATAATTTGTATATACGTTTTCATATATATTATATACAACTAGTAAAAATCCCGTAAAGATACAATATCTCGAAAACAAAGCATTTTCTGAAAAAATGATTCAGCTCAAAGTCTTAGGGTTTAAAAAGATCTATTTATTAATTACATCTATTTAAGCTTGGGTCGCCAAGGTCAGGTCAAGGTCACATAGATTTTTTTAAACAGGGTCTATTTTTGATTACAGAATTTAATAGTTGATGTCAGGGGTTTTATGAAACGCTAAAATAAAATTCATTTTTATTAAGTACTTTTCGAGTTATAAGGCTTAAAATTTACAATACCGTCAGCATTACCATTACCCAAGGTGTCCGACGGCTGAAACCTCTTGAATGTTATTGAGGATCATAACCTAGATAACATTTGGCAAGATTGAAGAAATTAGAGGTTGTTCCTCTATGAACTAAAATTTTTATTTTTACGTAAAAATGAAAATAAGATGAATAATATAATCCTATATTCTAGTATTCTAGATCTTGATAAATGTTATCCAGGTAATGATCCTGAACAACATTTAAGAGGTTTTAATAGTCAGTCGGAAACCTTGAATAATGTTAATGCCGACGGTACTGTAAATTTCAAGCTTCATAATTCGAAGAACATTTGATAAAAATAAACTTTATTGTAGTGTTTTAAATAATCCTTGATGTCAGCTATTAGAATATGAAATAAAAAATAGCGTTCCAATAAAAAACGATCTGATCTTGACGACGCCGTCTAAGGTCACAGATGTGATCAGTAAATAAATCTTTTTAAATCCTATTTTCATTTAAATCATTTTTCTCAAAAATGCTTCGTTTTAAAGATATTTCATTGATTCAGAACTGTCTATTCATTCTATATATATATGTATTAGATCTCATGATTTAATCCATTCAGATGACATATAACTTTATTTAAATATTTTTGATATTAAACCTTATCGATGAAAATCCATTTAAAGGCATTTGATGTCATTTGAAATATTTCTGCCAAAATTCATGGTAATCGGGCATTGTCAATCCGGATGTTTATCCGAAAGTTTACCCAAAGTATTCCAAAGTATTCAGTAATCATACATATAAAGTTCCCCAAAGTAATCAATATACATATAAAGTGTCCCAAAATAATCAATATATTTATAAAGTTCCTCAAAGTAGTCACTGTATATTCTTGTATAGAAGTTTCATTATTACCTATTACATTGAGTGTATACGAAATATACGATTCAACTGCATTGCTTACAATGATCGTATATTATGTCTTTGAATCGATCTGCATTTATACATATATATTATATAGGTATCCCAGAACGACCGCCAAATATTTCGTGTATTAATAGAGCGGATAAAACTAAATTAAAAATTCCATTACCATTTTGCAATTAACAGGATATTAACTTAACAAAATATTAATCACTAAAAATCACCAAATATATTGGCTTTCAATAATTCTTTACTCAAGTACTATTAACTTTATAAAAAAAACAGCGAGAGAAAAATTGTTTATTTTTTTCTCATAGAGCTTTAAGAATTTTTTCAGAATTTTTTATCAATTCTTTTTTATTACATTTCCTTATATTGGTAACTATTTTTACCAACATGGGTAAATGCGGCACTAAAAAATTCTGAAAAAATCCTCAGAACTCTATGAGAAGAAAATAAACAATTTTTGTCTCTTACTGTTTTTCTGTAAAATTGATAGTACTAATTTTGAGTACAAAATTATTGAAAATTAATATTCAGCGATTTTTAATAATTAATATCTTGTTAACTATTGTGAAAATTGCAAAATGATAGAGGATTTTTCGACTCAGTTTAGTCCGCTCTATCTACACAAATGCAATTGGCCAAAACTTATGGGACACTCTGTATATATTATATATATATATCAACATAATTAGTTTAATATTCTTATTTAATTTGAATGACATATTCTATTGTAGCAACATTCTATTATAGCAATAAGAAAATAAAAGTGTGTTATATCCATATGAGTAAAAAAACAGAATAAACTCTGGCGAAAAAGTTTCTATACCAAAATACGTCAAAAATTATTCTTAAATACGCCAAAAACTGTTCATAAATGCGCGGTTTGGAACGCGGATGTAATTTGACGTAGAATTCTATTTCTATGCCAAAGTAAGCCGATTCATGCCTTTGTACCAAATAACGCCAAACAAAGCCAAATTACGGTAAACTACGCCAGAAAATACGCACCTAATTATGCCCTAAAGTATCTAATTATGCCCGCTTAACTGCGCCTAAATACGCGAATGAACCATGGAAGTAGTTTGACGTAGAATTCTATTCCTATGCCAAAGATTTACGCCTTCCTATACGAAACTATACCCTAAGCATAGTTTCGGGTACATTTACACTGTACTATTTAAAGTATTGTAACATAATGATATCTTGAACTTATTTGGCATGAATTCAAGATGCTATTACGTTGCTATCATGATGAAATTAGAATTCCGTAACATAATATTCCGTACTTTAATATTAAAGCTTTGAGGACTCACTTCACATGCGAAATGCTGCATTCCTTATATACTTAATATTAATATTATTATACCCAATTAATTCTTATTTAGAAGTTCATGCATCTCCGTTGTGGTCCTCTCTCGGCGGAGATGCATAATGCTCACGGATGAGTAAAAGTAATTCCGCATAAAATAACGCAGAATGGCTTACTTTGTTACAAACGAAAAATTAAAAGATAAGAATTGTACTTTGGCATAGTTTGGTATAGAAATACATATCTCAGGAAACGATTTTTTCGTGCAACCGTAGGTAGGCATAGTTATTTCCGTGCCCAACTATTCGATTGTAGAGTGATTCTGCGTAAAAAAACCGTAGAATAGCATACTTTCTCCGAATATTTACGAAAAAATGAAAACCAGTTTTAGAGAAGTTCGACATAGTTCAGGATGTAATGATCATTAGTTGCGCATATTTTGGCGTTTCTGTGCCTAACTAGATCTAAATATGTCATTTTACATTCAAGTAAAAATGCGTAATTTGCCGTTGTTATTTCTGTGCTCAACTATCAGACTGTAGAGTAATTCCGCGTAAAATAGCATATTTTCTCCAAATATTACGAAAAAATAAAAATTAATTTGACGTAGTTCAGAAAGTAATTTAATATAACTAATAAGATTATTAGTTGTGCATACTTTGGCATATTTTCTATATCTAACTAGATCCAAGCTATTTTACATTTTTCGCATAACTTGGCGTAGTTTTCTATATTTAACAACGCGATTCTACGCCACAGACGTAGAAGTAGAAAGGCGTACTTTTTTGGCGTACTTTGAAATTTTTCTGCCAGGGAAGAATATGTCACATATTAATAAACATTCTAAAAGTAATACACTATAAATCATGATATTTGAAACATATCCATTATTTATGCAAATAATAGATTTTGTAAAGACGAGATTGACTTCCACTATTCATGCTACATCATATCAGTTTGCAAATCATATGAGATAGAACCATAGGACATAATTAATTTTCAAGAATATGTGAAGAAATCATGTAACTAAAAATTCTTGATGCAAATGAATTTAATCTGTAATTTGAGCTTGTATTTATATTTAGCAATTTGTGTATTTCAGGGTAAACATTAGAACAGTACAAAGACACACAGTAGTACACAAAAATACTTGATCTGTATGTATGCTAAATGTTATTATGTACCATACATATAGTAATATAAGCACGCAGCAGCAAATCATTGTTGCTTGATAAAATTAACTGAAATATGATGAGAGCACTTTAATAATAATGCATGGCAAGAACGATAAGCTTTCTAGATACAAATTCTTAGGAATGTTAAGTGCAGAGGAATAAAAAAAGGGAGAGCTGATGATGTGACATGATATGATTCCTCTGCGTACCTGGTTGGGCCTCCTCACCTGCGTCAGAGCCTCCATCCTCTGCTTTAATTGCTCTTCCATTTCTGGTAACTTAGCGTATTGAGCTAATTTTTGTTCCGCGAGCTCTAGTTTTTCTTGTATAGCAGCAATTTTTTCCTCTTGGAGCTTCAGTAAATTAAATTAATCATAAGAGAGAAAGTGAGTGTTAGAATTAAGAGAAAGAGAAAATAAGGATTAATCTGTAATTTACCTTTAATTGAGCTTTCTTATGCTGCAATTCCTGCTCCAGCTTCTCATTGAGATCATGAAGACTAGTGGACTCTCGTTGAGCATTGAGGTATCGTTTTTCTAGAGTTGCTATTCGTTCTTCTTGGTCCTCTTTTTGCGCCGCATTCTCTCGTAAATCTCTTTGCAATTTAAGACTTGCCTCTTGTGCCTTCAAAAGATCTTTTTGTGTTTTGGATAGTGTTTCCTCTAACTCGGCGACGCGTCCGCTTAGTTCCGCTACTCGTCGTTGCCACGTATTTAATTCTGAACTCTAAAATAATATTTACAACACGTATTTAAGTAAAGCTCAATTAATTCTAAAATTAAAAGAAATAAAAAAGGACTATGACCCAAACAAAATCTTTGATGATTAATTAATAAACGATAACATTGATCTCACAAATCGCTGTTCAAACTTTTTATTTGTTAATAAATTCCTTTAACATCAACTTTTTACGAGAAAAAACATTTTGAAAATCATAATAGTATCACCGGGCATTTATGTAATATTTTTACGGAATTGTACATATGTATTTCTTCATCTACGTCTTATTTATACATTTCAATTCTTATTCGCTAGTATATTACTGTAGTATGATGCTATTATATTGTGACGTTAGAAAAGTTTTTGTGGTTCAATTTTCTTTTATTAGCACTTTATTAGCTGTATACTGATAACTTGAAAATTATTCAAAAAATTATAAAGAACTTGAAGAAACAGATTTTGGCATAGAAAATGTTTTATTTGACATCTCTGAAGAAGATGAAGACCACACGCACGCACGCACGACACGCATGACATGCATGTGTACACACACACGCGCGCGCACACATGCACACACTGAGAGAAAAATGTTCTGATATTTCTAACTATAATTACGTATTACTATAATTATGATTATTACTGCTATAATATTAATAAAAAAATATATATATATAGTTTTAGCAGCAAATGTATACTATATGTTTTCTTTCCAACAATTGATTCATATATTATTATTCTGTCCATAAAAGTATTAAGCAACGATTACAAAAAAATTAATAATTTACGAGTTAACATTCAACAGTTATTATTTAACATTCTACGTCAATATATATTGACGATATGTCAAAAGTATAAAACTCTCATAAACTATTATTTTTTTTATATTACTACTTTGATATTTTTATGCAAAATAATTGAAGAAATCCTATTATATAAAAAAAATTGCACAATTCCATTTAAAAAAATGGAGATGGACCTTTATATCTGTTTGATGCCTCCACTTAAAAAAAAGACAGCATAACCAAAATACTCCCTTGAAACCGTTTCACTTTCATCTGAAACATTTTTTTCTATCCTAAGAATCAAGCAAGATATTTCAGATGTTCGAGTTAGGTAGGACAGCCTGTATATTGTTATTAATATTATAGCAGTAATATTCATAATTATTGTCTGTGCGTAATGTCAATTAGTATGAATGGAAAAATTCAGTCGTTCGAATACCGCGCTTAGCTGCGTACCAATTTCTCTATCGCGCTTGCGTGGCGCTACATAGGCTGGAATCCATAATCCGTTCTTAGGACGGAATCCATAAACGTTGCTCAAGATTCGAAATGGTCTTAAGCTAATGTTTGAGATGTCATGAATCAATCAAAGAGCGGTATTAGCTCAAGTATTAGCTTAAGACCATCTCAAATTTTGAGCAACACATCTATGGATTCTGCTCTTAGACCAGCATGGCGTGCTTATATAGCCGCAAGGCGCGCTGGTTGTCTGCCATTGTTCGACTGCTTGTGGACCGATACATAGTGGAATTAGAAAAGTAACCCATTCCGATGAATGGATTAAAAGTAGGGGGATCTGTCAGTCAAGTTTTGAGCTTATTTGCAGAAATTCACATGATTCGTTCACACTGCAAAAAAGTATAATTTCTGATTGGGGATCCTCCGCATGCGCAATGGGTCATCTTTTTAATTCCACTACGGACTGGTGAACAAGTTGATCATTGTACACCGTGAGTTACTATGAATATACGTCATAAGGAGAATTAAAGTATTGGGTCATCTAAAAAGTATCCGCGGTACTTTGTCACTAGATATATGACCATCAACACACATCTAGTGACAAAAAACCGCGGATATTTTTTAGATGACCCAATATATTCCTACATAAACTGCCGCACTCATTTTTACGCTAACGAAACCACATCGTGCATGGCCACATGGCGAAAGGAACAGATTTCTGACAAGGAGAAAATAGCGCAAGAAGGTATAAGCCTTCCATTAATAATTATAGTAATATATAATTATAGTTACAAGTACCAGACATTTTTCTCTCAGTGTGTGTATGTACACACACACATACACTGAGAAAAAAATGCTGTTGATTCAATTAAAGTCTATATTACGGGCTGTCACTGATATAAGTAATTAATTTATGTATATTTTTATTCAAATAAAAGCCTTGATTATTGAAATAATAATTTATGCCTTCATGTCAATAAAAATATATATGAATTAATCATTTATATTAGTGACAGCCCATAATATAGACTTTAATTGAATTAACAGCATTTTTTTCTCAGTATAGAATACGTACAAACATACATATGTGCGTACATAGTATACATACTATGCACACATTTTTCATTATAAAGAACTTATAAATTTAGCCGAAATATGACAGCGATTTGTCAGATCGACGATATTATCGTTGATATAATTTTTTTCAACATTACTGTTCAAAGGTTACATAAATAACATATTAATAACAATTATGCAATATATTACAAACATTAACATTAATTTTGTACGTTTGTAATAGATTGCATAATTGTTTAATACGATCCTAATCGTTTCATTTCAATGTAAATACAGACAAATTATAATGTTATAAATTTTACGTAATAAGACTGCGTTTGATGTTGTAAATATTAGGTTAACGATTAATCCATTTTACTATTACATTCGCTTGCAATTGTATGAGATGTTATTAGAATCGCCAACTATTTATTGATCGACAATTGAATTTACATGCGAATATAAGACAAAATGAGATTAATGGTCAACTGAATAAATTTCATGAACATTATAACTGTACAATCCTTGGTAAAAAAAACGGATAAATATATAAGAAATGATTAAATTTTTATAAAATTTTATCGTTTTATAAATCGTAGATATTTTTAAAGTTAGATATAACTGTTATCGTTTTGATTTTTTTAATATATGGTTTTAATATATCGTTTTAGGACAATAGAAATTTTTTAAAACATAGTACGTTTACAAACAGTTTTCTATTGTTATTAATAAATCGATTAATGTAAATCAAAAGAAGATTACAATCATATGACTTACTTGTTCTTAATCATAATTTCCAATTTTTAATTTCATCAGAAACTGTAACAGTTTTTATTACAATCTTATTTATGCGTTCATGTGAATAACATGTGGCGACGACGATAACGATGATAATAATAAATATTTCATAAATGAGTGTGTTTAATTATTATCTATAATAATATAATATAATATATGAAGAAAATTCATTCAGTTATTTTTTACGTTCAGACATACAATGAACGTTTGTCGTGACCACAAATCAACGATAACAAATAAAAATAAAAATAAAAATAATGTAAAGGCTGATTCACATTTTGTTCAGAATGTCAATGTAAGTGCGATCTAAACTCTCAGTGTCGGTTTGCAAATTAAGATCGTTGAATTGTTGCTTGGTATGTATTTCAGACACGAAGTGCTTGTTGTAACAATTCTCAATATCTAACACACTTACATTGTCCCAAATCTCAGATTAATACTACAATCTCAAATTAATACTACGATGCAATCGTATATTTGTGATCCTATATTGAGTGATGATTGCAAATGGGTGAGGGAATTTTTACGTATATAATTTTGATTCAAATACTTTAGTTATTAGTTTTCTCCTCGTTTGTTCAAGATAGAATCACAGTCCTTGATTTTACATACAACATTTCTTTTTTGTAAATTGGGCAACAAATGTTTGTGTACTCTGATGAACCTGCTTAATTTGTTAAAACTAAAAAATGAAATTCTATGTACGCTACTATTGATAATATTCATTAATTTTTCGGAATGCCCTGTATGGAATGCTGAATTATTTCTTTTTTGCTGTCACATTATCAGGTTTTTTATTTATTTTCACTTTTAGATTGGTCTTTTTGATAAGATATTTTATCTTATTTTTTATCGTTTTCATAATAAATTCCATGAGATAATCATTTCCTGTTAATATATTAACGATGAAATTCTATTTTTGTCATGGAATTCCAGATGCGAAAGAAAAAATGTCCTGTCCATTAAATCTAAAATTGCTTCCTTTTTTGAGACATCGAATATTGAGAGTAGAAAAAATTTGAGAGTTAAAAAGTTGTTCGATTCAAAGGGCACATAATATAATGAGCAAAAATTGTTTTCAAGGTCATATTTTTTAGAGACTTTAAGATTACCTGCATTTTTTTAATGGAATTGTATGATTATTTGCACAATATGATTCCTCTAATTATTCTGAACATAAAAGTATTAAGGTAGTCATATAAAAAAACCAATAGTTAACGAGATATTTTATACCATATTCTATTGCAACATATATATATATATATATATATATATATATATATATAGACATAAAATGTTAAATAAATCGTAAAATATTAATTTTTTGATAATCGTACCTTGATACTTTTATGAACAGAATAATAAGATGAATCAATTGATGTAAAGAAAACACATAATTGCTTTAAAAAAAAAAGATGTAAGCAAAATGAATAATTTTTTAAATAAAGAACTATAGATTTCTTTCCAATTGATTGATCTCATTATTTTGTTCATAAAAGTATGAAGGTATTATACTATTATCAAAAAAATTAATAGTTTAAGAGATATTTAATATTTAGAGCTCAGAAAAGAAACCAAATAACGTAAAATTCAGGTATCCGCGGATCCGTCATTCGTGCATAGGGATTTGGACCGGTTCTGCGGATATCCATTAATTTGAGTATCTGCAGAATCACAATATGGATACCCGAGAAACCATGCGTGATACGGGTACCCATGGAATTGTGTACCACGCCTCAGTGCGGGTATCTGCTATATGCTATAGACGATACAGATATTTGTGCGTAACTTTGTTAATTTTAGAGATTTGTGTTGTAGAATCGTTTGTAATGATTCTCATTTCGCTTGTAGTTAATTTAAATTATGTTGTAATTTTTAAAATATTCAACTACAAACGAAAGGAAAATCTCA